AAGGTCAGGAGAAGGCTGCTACAAGCGCAAATAGGCACTGAGAGAGGAAGAACATGCACAAACGAGAGACAGGACGAGTTGAAAGAATGCACAGCTGCCCAGGCAGTACTTTATTTTTTGCCTGCCCTCAAACCTTCTCTGAACAGAAGGTAGTAATACACCAAACCCCAAATTCAGGGCTCTCAGAAATGCTGCTTCTCAAGGACCACAGGCAGAATCATTAGCACTGCTGAGGAGACTGACACAAATCAGTCACAGAAAAATCACTGTACCTACTCTCAATTACTCCTCCACCTCAAATAAAGAAATTTACCATAATGCCTAAATTAATTCAAGAGCTAAAGAGAAAAGAGAAGAGGACAAGCAGTATGAGGAGCAAGGAACAGACACGTGGCTATGCTGGCACAGGGCTGGACTCAGTGCTGTTGGTGTGCTGCTGCGCTGGCACTTCTGTGCTGCTTAGCTAGGGAGGTGTTAAGGTCAATGCAGTTTGCTCTAACCAAACTGAAGGCCCATTGTATAGCCCTCCATGCCTGTTGCCTTCTCCCTTCATTTCCTCCAGAGGCATCAGTGCAAGTTGCCAAGTTAGGTTGCACCTAGATACTGCACAAACAAATAGGCTCTGACCACTTGGCAAGAGCGGCACAGGACAGCAGCTGGGCAGTCTCTACCTTGCAAGAGACTGCAGGGAGCTTGAAACAAATAATTTGGAAGAGAATAAAGTCACTATCAACGCTTAAAATGCAGAACTACAAGGCAACACATACATAACAAAGAGAAATAGATTTGTTCTTATTAAAACTTGGCATTAGCTGTGAAGATCCCTGGGACTTCTCTCCTCCTTACTTCTAGCTGCAAGCCTGTATGTAGCTAGCTCTTTCCCAGGGCCCCTACTGTAACATCTATGCTGCTTCTGCAGTGATAAGCCCACCCTAGCCTAGCTCATGAATCTTGCAAAAAACCAAGAGTGTCCCATCAGCTGCTCACCTTTCTATCACTCTGAGAATCACCTTGCACATTAGCACATCTCTTGGCTATTCTCGTATCACTCTTCTAATAGCTCTAATAGCACTTCAGAGCCTGTCTATCAGAGTCCAAGCCTAATTTCTTATTTTACATCCTACACCTCCAAAATTTAAAATATAAACTGGGGAAACAATGATGCCACTTTCACCTTCCCTTTATGTCAAACGTAGCAAGCTGCCCCTTTGACTACAAAGGATCAAGACCAGTGAATCACAATTAGCCTGTGATATTTGTCTGGGGTGTTTCTGGCAAAACGCAAAGTTTCAGTGGAGGCAAAGAAGCCACTTACACCAGCACAGAACAAAGTCTCAAAAGAGATCAGAGACTCTTCCACATCCTCACAAGTCCAAAGGATATATGCTTAGCAATATCAGAGCAGAACATCTGAAACCTAGAACACATAGTACATGTACCCCTAACAGTAAATGAAACTGGCATGAAGCAGTGACAGAGCAGCTGCAGATTCCAGTGCCAGAAGCTTCCAGGAATGTCTTCTGTCTCCACCACTAGGGTTTATGCAATTATTTGCCAACAGGTACTCAAAAGTTAATTTAGGTTCTGAATCAACAAGCTTCATTTTCAAACACCCTATTTTTTACCTTTATTTTGCAACTGAGAATGCTTGCAAGAGAATGTTCTTCCAAGAGTCATTTTAGTAAGATCTTGGCTTCAGTGACTAGAAATTAGTTGCACTGAATAATGAGGAATTTGTTGTCCTTACGTTACATTAGTAAAATGGATAAAAATTATATATGGGATCTTACATACTTCTACTACAAAACATATACCCAAAACACGTTTACACACAGAAGAATGTGAAAGGGTGACAATCCTGCCTCATGGATAGAGTGAGAAGTTGAGACTGAACTGAAAGAGGGCACTGAGTCAGGACTAGTGTTAAAGTAGGAGAGAGCAGATCCAGGATAGCCTCAATGAGCTACAGAGGGCAACAAAGACAGGGCTGCAGCAAACATGGCAGAGACTGACAGCTACGTTACAGCAGTCAGAAGGAAGCCCATATACAACTTGGAACATCTCACCTCTTGTACAGCCCTCCAGGCTTCTGTGTCTGGGGCACAGTGAAAGCCCAAACCATCACTGGAGTGGGAATAGCTCCAATGCTTGTATAAAGTGACACAAAACAAAACAAACAAACAAAAAAAAAAAAAGTATCCAGAACTTTTCTCTGCCTCTATATTAAGCAGACTACTGATTTGGCACCTTGTCTCCTATGGCCAAAAGAATTCAACAAAGGAAGAGAGAACTACTTTGAGAAACATTTAGGTAAGGCATGACTGGGAGGGTGAGAATTAGAAAGGAGGATGACTTGTCATTAAGACTATGCTGAATCCTACAGATTGCAAGCATCAAAACAAAATTTTCCAATAAATCTCAACAGCACTAAAATGGCTTAGTTCTACCACAGAGCCATACAAAAACTGTAAGGACTGTGTTTAAGAGGCAGATGTTTGAACTGGAGCCAAGCGCAAGCCAGATAAGAGACCCATTTACAAAACATCCTTGCCGAATTCTACAACTCGTAGACCAGAACCTTAATGGAACAAAACTGGAAGCTTTTTTCTTCAAACAGTCATCCAGCACTGAGCACAGGCTGACACCCATCAGATGACCCTCTATGAACTGCTTGCCCCAGTGCAACAGATCAAGTAGCAAAAAAGGCATTTAGAATAGAAGATAGCCATCTCCATACATTGTGACCTTGGTATTCCTTTTGGAATTCTACCATTAAATGAAAGTTCACAGCCCAAGTAATTAAGCACTGGAAAGAATCCTTTTTTTTTTTTTTCCCCCACAGGTTTACATAAAGCTTTTAACTCCTGGTATTCTGGCCATTCAATACAAGCAGCCACAAAAATAAAGTAATTCAGTAAAGTCTTAAGACGTCTTTCCATCTCTTGTTCTAACGATAAGAACAGAACAACTGAAGTACCAAAAAACTAAATGGCTCACAAAAGGTTTGAAGATGGGATCTTATTCCAGCTGTGACCAGACAATTCTGAAGTACTTCTGGATTGCTGTACAAAATAAAGCAGAATTTCTAAAGGCATTAAACTACGCATACAATGCTAAATAAGGCACAGCCCTTGAAGTCATTCAGAGCGGAGTTCTGGGCATTAAATGGTGGGTTCTTAGATCTACAGGTAACATAACTGAAATGGTTTCAGAGTCACAGGGTAATTATAGTGACTCCTCCAGAGCTCTGCAACAGAAGACTTTGAGCACATGTAATCTTTTTCCAGCTGTGTGTGAGTCCATGCAGAGGTGCAAGCAGAGCTGAGAAAGGAATGGAAGCTCTAGGATAGCCTGCACTCTGCTGCTCTCGCAAGCTATGTAGGAAGGGAAGGCAGTTTACACCTGTTGGATAGGTTCTTTATTTGGATTAGGTAATAGCTTGCCTGGCTGAACTCCAAGATTAGAATCACCGCCACCTCTCTCAATAACTCTAAACCCCAGAGGCAAACATAATGCTGGAACATAAACAGGCCAGGAATTCATTTCTCACATTCCTCTTCTCTAGGCAGGATGAAAAGCATTGACTGATGAAATAAGTACAATTTTACTTCAGCTTTCCAAGACCCATTCCAATCCTTCTGTTGAATGACCCATTTGGGAAGGGATGACCACTCAGGTCACATGCCTCCCTCTGTACTGTGTGTCTGCCTCTCCCACCTCCCCCCATTTTCTGGTAGCATTGAAGCAGCACTGACAGGAATCAGTATTTTCATGCATACAGTGCTTTCCAGTCCTAAACTCATGTGCTAGAGAAGCTGTGCCTCCTTATTCTAATTTAAAAGAGAAAAATGAAGGCTTAGGCAAAAGAATAAAAAATATTTACTGAAGTGGCAAGGAAAGAACTCAAACCTCCAACAGTTCTGGGCTGGTATTCAGCATAGCTCACCCTGCTCCTAGCTTCCAAGATCCAGAATCCTTTGGGCAAACCTTGCTGCTCTTTCAATCCCAGCAAGAATGGTTTTAATGCAGAATCACAGACCTTTGCCCTGAGTCCCATGATATCAGCCATAAATATATATTCCAATGTCCGTAAAGACCATGAAGAAGCCATATGAAAAAGAAACTTTATAATATAAACACTGCAAGATACTGCTCTATCTTTGAACAATCTAAACTTGACATTCAAGGAAGAAGCATAAAGATGCAGCCTTACTGGAGATTTCTGCAGGATCAGGTATAAGTTTGCATTCTGCATATATGTCTCAACACCAACAAACCTAAACTTACAGGTGCAGGGATGAGAAATGATCAAAGAGAAACAGACATTTCCCTTTCATTCTACATGTTCATCCATCTCCTTATTTCACCATGAACCTGAGAGCTCTGGGAACACAGCTCTAGTTTCACAGGCCTAGTTTCTAGGATAGTCCTAAGAAGATAGGCCCTTAGACAGAATCATAGAATCATTTAGGTTGGAAAAGACCTTTAAGATCATTGAGTCCAAATCTTACCCTTACACTGCCAAGTCCACCACTAAACCATGTCCCTAAGCACCACATCTACATGTATTTTAAATACCTCCAGGTATGGTGATTCAAGCACTTCCCTGGGCAACCTGTTCCAATGCTTGACAATACTTTCTGTGAAGAAAGTTCTCCTAATATTCAATCTAAACCTTGCCTAGAGCAACTTGAGGCCATCTCCTCTTGTCTTACTGCTTGTCACTTGGGAAGAAGAGACTGACACCCCTTCGCTACAACCTCCTTTCAGGTAGTAGTTGAGACCAATAAGGTCCCCCCTGAGCCTTCTCTTCTCCAGACTTAACAACCCCAGTTCCCTCAGCCATTCCTCATCAGACTTGTGCTCCAGGCCCTTCACCAGCTTTGTTGCCCTTTGGACAGGCTCCAGCACCTGAGCAAGAAGCCACATATAAATTACAAGTGACCTCCAGAGTGCATTACATTCTTCTTCAAAAAGCTGGAGCAGCAATTTTAACTTACCTGACAGCTGAAGAGACAGGTCTGATGTCAGCTATATGGGTGTCTGACTGCACCGGCAACAATGACCCTGTTTTGTTGAGTGATGACTGGTAGCTCTGTGGGGTGGCTGCATTCCCCTTGCTTACAGTTCCACTTGCCAAGTTCAGGTTTGTTAACTAAAGGGGGTGGGAGGAGGAGGAAAGAAAAAAATACATCAGAAACAATTAAAAGACAAGAAAAGAGCAAAAGGTGTCACTAAGTAAACCAGACAGACTACGTACTAAGAGGAATAAGACTACTAGAGAAAGGAAACATTCAGATGCAGGACTGTGCTAGCTGCATAAAGCAGTGGGAGAGATGACACCAACCTCCACAATGCTTGAGATGAATTCAAGTACCAGCATTAAAAATACAAGCCTTCCATTCACAGAAGAACAAAGGAGGAAAGACAAAGATGGATCGAAAATCCCAGAGTAAGAAAGCAACATCACATTCCTGCCATGTGAAAACTTAACTCTATGTGCACTAATCAAAACCTAGAAACTCACATTACACTGAGCAGAGACCAGTGTGCCCAGTCAACATAAGCTGTGTCACTAAGCCAGCCATATGCACCTTTCCTCTCTCTATCCCCCTCTATGCATCCATACAGGCACAATCCAACAGCATATGTACCTTGTATATATAATTCAAAACCAAACTCTACCACATATAAAAGTAACTTCTCACACAACCACTTCCAATCTGTTTACACAAGTAAATATGCTAGCTAATGACAGTCTAAAATCGTGTTAGGTATATGTTATACCAAGCTCTAAAGAAATTATCTATGTGGGTTTAAGCATGCAAAGTGTATTCCATTGTTTCTCTCTCTGGTTATCTTCTTGACAGATCAAACTCTGCAGCAGACACTGTCTGTTGCTTTATTGAAGAGAGCCTAAAAACGTAATGAAATAGTATCTACTACAGCAGGATAAGTATTAAGTTACATTTGGGAAAAAAAAAATCATGAAGCTTACAAGACACTACAAAGGTTGCAAAGTTACGAAGTTACGATTCCCAGTCAGGCATTGTCAGAATTAAGTTTATTACTACCTTTAATTATATGATCACATGTTGCTTTTTAGGAGCACAGAACAGAGCTGGTTCTGTACCAAGATTAACATCATATGGTAAGCAAAACTTATCTGTATGGCCCCTGCTTGCTTCTGTGGCAACTGGAAGGCATATAGCCAGAGAGACAAAGGACACAGACAGAAAGAAGAGTCTAACACCTAACCCTGCATCTGCTCCAGATCTCAAAGGTGATGCTTGTTAAGTCACTTGAGTGTGACTCAAGCATAGCTCGTGAATTCCCAGCTTTGAGACCTTAACAGTGCTCTTTCATCAATATTTGTGTGCAATTACTCATATGCTTCATTGCAATATACCGCACTCATACCTACAACAGACTTGTGCAGGACTGCAGACTTCATATTCTCTGACTGAACTCTGGCATGAACTACCATTGCAACTGGCAACACAGTAGATTCCCACTCCTCCTGTGGTTTAGTACTATGAGGCATCTAAGCATTTTGTAGATTCAGAAATCTTGACTCCTACTTCAAGTTCTGAACAGGATTAAATTATAGCGGTTATGCAATGGGCTTCTGCCCACTTCTCCAAAAGCAACCTCTTTTGGCTCATCCCTTCTGAGCTCTACCCTTTCCTGTTCTTACTGCTTGTCAGTGTCTCGTTATTCTCGCTTAGTCAGTCACAGCTTCCATGTTTCAGGTGTCAATCTCCTTATTCTGCTCAGTCCAGTTTCATTCCTACAGATTTCCAACACTGGCGTCCCCACTACTTCTGGCCCTTGAGCCACACCATTTCAGGCCTGGAACTCTCCATGAGAGTAGTTATTTGATCTGCCTTCCCATACTTTTGTTCTTCATTCCTCTTCCAGTTGCTCTCATGCCCTAGAAGCAAGCTTAGTCATAGGCAGTGCTACCCATCTTGTATGGAAAATTACTTAAGGTGTCATTTTGGCCCTCTACCTCACCCTTAAATGTTATCTTCTGTAGGATTTAATTAAAATTTAAAACATCTTCATTGCAATAACAGAAAGCTTCAAATTAGGTTTAGTTCCAGTTGTGCTAGGCACTATACAAACACCTAACAATGACGGTTTCTAGCCACAAAGAGTTTATTGTCTGAAAAGAAGCAAGAATGGCAAATGAGACAAACACAAAGGAAATAGAATATATAGAATTCTTAGCTTGTCAGCAACAGTAATCACAACTTTGTTAACACATACAATGTGTGAAATGAAGACGACTTTATCCATTTTTTTCATCATCTTGATACCAAGAACCATTTAGCTTGATGAATTACCACCTCACCCCTGCTCTATTAATGCAATCTGCTTTCCTCTCTAATCCGGTATCACTGTTTATTTGAAAACTGTCTTTCTAAGCAAAGCACGTGAGCAAATAGCTTAGTATGGGTAGTAGGGACATTTCACACATTCCACATAGACAGGTGTTTAAACTACAGCAGGATTAAATACAGACAAGGGATTCAGAATGCGGGAGAGAACACCAGCAAGGTGCAAGGTTTAGCTGCAGCCAGCCCACCCAGATGGGTGTTACTGCTTGTTACTGTGCCATGTGCTGAGACTTTTCAGCTGCTATAATTAGCTTGGCAGGATATTGCCTTAGTGGATCGCTGGAACACCCCTAACACATTTGTGCTCCACAGAGTGACTTCATTCTCTAGTCACCAGTCCTCCTGTGCACCTGATGAAATCATATTCTTCCCTTTATGTAGGCAAACACTTAGCAGCAAATCAGTTGTCACTTTAGCTTTAAATAAGATAATGTATAGCACTTGGACCAAAGGACATATCAAAAACTCCATAAAGAAAATATGGTATTGAGAAACAAAACAAAACAAACAACCTCACCCTACCCCCAAAATCAAGAAAGGCAGATTAGTGGGGCTTAACAGGGAAAGTGATTATTGGCATGGAACTACAAGAATAAAGTTACTTTTCACACCGAGTTGTATCAAGATGGGTTCAAGCTCTCCTGCTTGGTAAGATCTTCACTAGCAGTAAGGGACTTACAAATATTTTTTCTGACACTATGACAGGAGACCTGTGTGTGCTGCACTGCACTCTTCAAGCATCCCTATCTTCAAACATCTCTCCTCACATTAAAACATTTTCTGTGGAGTCTGTAAAAAGCAAGATAATACACAGCTAATACTTCTCATGATAAAATGATTCATAAAGTTTTGCCACAATTTTTAAACTGTTTGGGACAGCTAAAAGGAACATGCTGAGTGAACAACACAATGGGACAGTAAATCCCAAAGAGCTCTCATGGAAAGAGAAGAGCCCACTTTATGTAACTCTAGCTGTTATCTAACATCAAGAAATAGGGTAGGGAAGAACATGTGGGTTGTCACAGCCATATTGATAAATACAACCTAGTGTTAGAAAGCCTAACAGCATATATATGTACTGTTATAATTAAATACTAATAAGCTAAAAACCAAATTATTGCATAATGCCAAATTACTTTTACTGGGGTTTTTTTAATTATTTTTAAGCATTACAAGGTAAGTTTATGACAATACACCTGCCTTATTGAGACCAGACCCACATAAGCTTAAGTGAACTTGTCTCTGGTTTTGCTTTATTTAGAGAAATCTATTTCCCAATAAATTTAAGATTGAAAGCAAGGCCACAACACAGAATGGTATCTGAAAGTGCCAGACATAAGAGTTGAGAGTTTTGGTTTTGTTAATCTGCTTTATAATTAAAATAGGAAATATGAAATCTCCAAATACAAACAGGAAGAAAGAAAACTCAAGGATAGAATTTGGAATTTGTTTCTAATGAATAGCATTCTACAGACAAAGACCCATTGTATAGTACCTTTAAGAAAGCACAAGCAAGAGTCAAAAGAGGAGCTTAATCTCTTTCACAGTTCTGATCTACATTATACTATTCTTTCAACAGTTTCCCATTATCACATTCAAGAACCTTTATTTCTATAATATTTTCATTTTGAACTTGTCTAATATTTCAAATAAGCTAAAGCAGAAAATGTCGCCTATGGTCAAAAATTAAAAAGTGTGTATATATATATATATATATGCATACACACACACATATACATTTATATGTGCTGCAGATCAGCCTCAACAAATACAGTAAAAGCCTCTAAAAAAACCTCCTAAAAGCCTGAGTGTTTCTCTTGCTGGTTTGCAGGAGTCAACCACGGTGAACAAGGACACATCATCTCTAGAAGCTGCCCTCTCGGCACAGAGTGGAACAGTGACTTAAATTTTCATTACCAACATCCTGAACAGCAGATCCTGAGTTTCACTGGTCAATGTGTTACAACACTGACCAAGCAATGCACTACAAATAACGCTTACTTCACACTCCCCAGTTGGCAGTTTTAGTATTTTTCTGCCAGAGGCCAGTCATATCCTGTTGCCTGTAAAGTGCCGGGGACTGGAGATCTACACAGTCTAAAGATGACCACTTCTCTTACTTGGAGCCACACTTGAATCCTTTCCAGTTCACACATCTCGTTTCCATTTGGATCTGACTGGTGAGGAGGAGAAGAAATCCAAGCTACATTTCAAAGATCAAGACATGATCAAGATGTGCCAAAGGAACACAGTGATCATAGGCGTACTTCATTGTCTCTTCCAAAAAAAACTTCAATATGATAAAAAGTTCACAGTCTGAAACAGGAGGAAACCTAATGCCACAAATTTTTAGGGACAATGTACCCTTTCAACAAGTTTCAAAGGTATATATGAACATCAACAGCTTACTGAGAAACCTTTTTCTTTAAAGAAAGATTGGAAGGGATCATTTTAAGGATGTAAGATCATTTTACATGTAAGATCACTCCTCCTCTACCTAAAGACCAGAATCTTTAGGTTTTGATGCCTCAGACAGGACAAAATGACATTATATCATAAACTAAAAGGAAGGAAGCATTCCAGTAGAAAACTGAAAGCATGCAAAATGTTTCATCATTTGCAATATATTCTCCTTTACCTTTCCTGTGTGCTCAGTTTGACTCCTTCAAGACCCTTCAGTCAATCCCTAATTTTCCATTTTATTACTGTTCATCCAGCAATGCTACCTTTATCCAAGAGCTTGTAAGAGAAA